GTTTTTTCCCCCTAACTTCAGTATCTCAAAAAGGTAGATTTTCCTTTTGCATCCATGAATACAAACTTAGATGAAACAGATTTGCAAATAGTGTTCAATTAAAGCAAAGCTTTTCTTTAAACTTCAGAACAGTTGCAACCTTAGGGTCTGTAGGTGCAGGAGTCCTAAAGCCCTGGCTCTGTCCAATAAGCAAATCTCAACTTTTTATTAATTACATCTGCAACTCCATATTGGTTCATCAAGTAATGGGTGGCCCAAAGAAGGAATAGGTAGGGAGGTGGGAGAGAAAATCTCTTGAAAAATTCTGAAGTCAAGATTTTCCTTAACCTTTGTGAAAGAGATGAAGCTCTGCTGGCTTTCATTATCCATTCATATGCAAGCAAAAATGCTGTTTTTTATTTTCCATGTGTGTAATGGGGTATTCTTTGCAAAGTGAATTTTCACCATGTTCACTAAGGAAAATTCCCTTGCCAAGTGAAAATTCCCTTGCAAAGTGAACTCCCTATTTACCTTTAGTAAATCAACCCCACTGAGAGGTGTATGTAGGCATCTAACAACTTCTTTCAGACAGGCCAGTATTTTCAAACAACAGGTTTACTGTTTAGGAGTCCTTATACTTTTGTTACATGATCCTATGGCTTTTTTTATTTCAGAATAAAATAAATTGTCAGTATAATTGGTACAATTTCTTCCACAGGCGACACAGAGAAAGAAAATGTTACCTATGTTTAAATAAAATGCATCAAATTATTTTGCTACATGATTTAAACCAGCAAAAAGAGAATTTCATCTCACTGTCTTGAGTAGAGCGTTCTATTGCAAATGTTTTGGCCTTTGAATCTCTTTTAAGTACCGATTGTTCCCAGCTGAACTTCACTGCTGTCAAATAAAATGTAATCTGGTTGGATGTGTACAGTCACAAATGACATTTTAAAGAAATCGATTTCTTAGTAATCCACACTTTCTACTCAGTATAAAGTAACATATAATTCTATAACATTTTGATGAGGTCAAATTACCTTATTACCAATCAGAGCTTTTAAAAGCAGGGACGCAGAGGCCGTGACTCAATAGCTGCATTTGGTTCCCCATTGACTTTGTTGCTTTTATTTTTTTATTTTTAGCTTTTCATATTAAAACTTCTCTACTTGAAAAGTAAACTGAAAGTCAAATAAGATAAAAGGACAAGTCATGGCAATACAACAAAAACGTCATTTTTTTTGCAATATATTTATCAGTTATAAGTTTTTCAGAACCAATTTTGAAAACATGTCCAACAATGGTTCTGATTTTTTTTTACTTTCTTTTGTAAGTCACACAGTGGCGAAGGGGTCACTTAAATTCTTTAGGGCAGTAGAAACTTTGCATGCTGTTCAACAGTCATTTTGGCCCATTCTTCTAGGCAGGTTTGCTCTGGGCTGTTCAGGTTAGCTGAATAATGCGTTTGCTTCTCCATTTTCAGATAGCATACCAGACTGTCAGTAGGATTGACATCAGAGCTCAATTATTAACACATTCTCCTTTTTGTACTCAAGCAATTCCAGAGTTACTTTGGTGTGAGCTTTCTATTCTGCTACAATCTGAGACATGTTTATTCCTGTTCTTTGTGCCTTCAATTTAAAGTGACCCTTTCCTTTGCCCATGCAGGGCAAAGAAAAGGTTTACTTAGCCCCCTCACCAGAAGCATACTCTTTTCTTCAATCCATCCACTTCTCCATTTGGCTGCCAAGACCCAAGAATGCAAGCCCTGCGTAAGCACCAATCCAACTTGTCTTAATTTTTACAAGGCCATGGACTCCTTGCATATAATGAGACACCAATCACTAGGCACCAGTACTTTCAAATAGAAAGGGCGAAATAATCGGATGCTCACCCCATCCCTCACCACCCACATCTATGCTGCTAGGGGAGATTAAAGAACAAGTATCACCACAATTTAAAAGCCATTTTTAATCCCCCAAGTGCATGTAGCGCTTGGTCCTGTTTTGATCTCTGCTGTTATTGTGCAATACAAGAACCTTGTTAATTCTGTTTATGCTGTCTATTGCTCCACCCCAGACTAAAGCTCAATTTATGAGTGTTCATATGGGAGAGCTACAACCAGCACTAAAGCTACCATCCTCTCTATTCGTGTGCTTTGTTTTTCATATTCAAATAATGTGCCTATGAGTAAATATTCCAAAATAATAGGATGGTTCTCGATTACCTGAATACAGGCCCATTACTTTGTGCCTGTGATTAGGTAACCCAGAACACATAAAAGAAGTGCAATACACAGGAAGTACAGTGAAGATTGGTTTCTTCTCCCTCTGTATGTATACAACTTCACCCAAGTGCCTGGCTCCTCTCTGTTGTTGCTCTAGTAGATGGGAAGTCAGGCATGCAATATATTAAATTGACAAACATCTTGGGCGCTGGTAACCAAAAATGAGGTCTTGTAGCTTGTGAAGGCTATAACTACAACTGCTCAATAAACCATAGGAGACATATGTGATTAGAACAGTAGCTGATACTGAACTCTATTGGAATAGAGCCAAATTAATAGTGACCAGTAAAGTATTAAAAATTAGCAAGGATGATGACAATGTTATCCAGAGTAAAAAAGAAGGATTTTGTTCCACTTGAGAGGAATTAAAACCATTGTTCATAGTCATATGTCCAATGTAAATGAAGGAAAATAGGTACATCCGGACCAGGGTGCAGGAGGCGGTGGAAAGGAATCCTGTGGGCAATTCTGCTGGAAGATAGGTTGCCAACTGTGAGAAGGTACCACTCACAGGACAGGATTCTGGGGCAGTACTATGGCAGGGCAAATTAGCAGTTAAAGGGACCTACCCTCAATATGAATCAAGCCCATTTGTAAGCCAATTTTATAAACCGTCACCAACATACTATAAATAAGTATCCAACTATTAATAAAATATTTCTATCACAACAAAAAGTAAACAGCAAGATATTTGAAAACTAATCTGTGTGTCATCATTTCAGATATAAAATATGCATACAATTCTGTAAACAAACTGGTCAAAGACATATAAGAATTATTGATTATACCCAATTAGATAATTCTAGATATTATCAAGTTGTACATACTGAAACATGTACAATAACTTATATTATGCAGTGTACTTCAGGGTCCTCATTCAACCCATCTGGTGTCATGGTGCCTAATTTAAGTATCCAAATAGGGAAACCTTTTGGATAACTAAATTAGGTACCATGACACCAGATGGGTTGAACGAGGACCCTGAAGTACACTGCATAATATAAGTTAATATATATAATTCTCTAATTGGGTATAATCAATAATTCTTATATGTCCTGGACCAGTTTGTTTACAGAATTATATGCATATTTTATTTCTGAAATGATGACACACTAATTAACCTCCCTGGCGGTATGATTATTTCAGATTTTTGGTGCTGAAAGCGGTACCATTTTTTTGCATGGAAATATGTATTTTTTTTATTGTAGGCTGTAATTTTTAGGAAAAACTCACTGAAATCTGTCCGAACAAGAGTCTAGTAAACATCCCGGGTATGATAAAATTTGAAACACAAAATCATAAATTATAATTTAATAAATAATCATAAAAAATAATAGAAAAATAATAGAAAATTTAATTCAATAATATAATCAAACCAAAAACACTGAAATGTGAAATAGAGCGCCAAGTTCGCACATTGCTGAGCTCAGTCGCAAAATCGTTTTCAGTTTCTGATGACGAATTTCCCCCACGAATCATTATCACTCAATTCTGTAAGTGGTTCTGATTTACTATCGCTGTTCTCTAGCTGATCTAAACCGCTTTTGACCTAAAGGGACACTTTTTGGACGCCATGGACATTTCTGAGTTTCCAGGCAGAAAGAACAGACAAAATGCAGGCAGGGCGCAGGACAAAGCACTAGGGACAATATGTATGTGAAATAGGTTGAAACAGCAATGTTTTACTATGTAAAATGAAAAAAAAAAAAAATGACATTTTTTAAAATTTTTAAATTTCCCGCCGGCGGCGGCGGCGGCGGCGCCCGTACGTCCCGACGTCACAGGGACAGGACACAGAAGCCGGATGCCGGCATCGGCCGGAGGAGATGGCCGGGGACGCTGCAGGGGACACATCGTGGGAGCGCAGGGTAAGGTAAGTGAAGAACACATGCCGGAGCAGCGCCGCATGGTATTCCCGAGTGTAGCTCGGGGTTACCGCTTTTGGTACTGAAATGTTACCCCGAGCTACACTCGGGAATACCGCCAAGGAGGTTAATTTTCAAATATTTTGCTGTTTTACTTTTTTTGTTGTAATAGAAAATGTTTTATTAACCACTTTCTCTCCAGAGGAATTACCCCCTTCCTGATCAGGCCATTTTTTGTTTTATGGCGCTGCGTTACTTTAACTGACAATTGCACGGTCATGCAACGCTGCAACCAAAATAACATTTATGTCCTTTTTTTCCCACAAATAGAGCTTTCTTTTGGTGGTACTTGATTGCCTGTGCGCCGTGTACTTTTTGCGCTATACATTTAGCAAAAAAAAACAATTTTGAGAAAAAAAAAAATATTTTTTACTTTTTGCTAGTAAACATGGCCAGTAAAAAAAATGTAAAAAATCAAATTTTGTCATAAATTTAGAGCAAAATGTATTCTGCTACATGTATTTGCTAAAAAAATCCCAATACATGTAAATGAATTTGTTTATGTGAAAGTTATAGTGTTTACAAATGGCGGTATATATACTGGGATTTTTTTGTTTTGTTTTTACTAGTAATGGCGGCGATCAGCGACTTATAGCAGGACTGTGTTGGGCATTCTGACACTGAGGGGAACTGACTTTGTGTCACTGACATCCCCAGTGACACCAATACAGTGATCAGTGTTAATAAAACGCACTGACACTGTACTAATAGCACTGGGCATGAAGGGGTTAACACCTGGGGTGATCAAAGGGTTAACTGTGTGCTGTGTGTGTTTCACTATGGGGCTGTGTCTGTGCTTTCCACCGTAAGCACACTGCTTTGTATGGCTGTGCTATGCAGAGCCATACAAAGCAGTGTGCTGGAGCTGACAGAGGAGAGATCTGTATTGGTTACATACAGTTTTCTCCCCCCGTCAGTATTACTTGGCGATCACCGGGTGGGACCCAGTGATTGACAGCTGAGGCCACAAATGGCAGCATGAGTAAGGTGTATATATACATGATTTTGTGCACCCCTGCCACCCTGTAGCAGTTAATAGTTGGATACTTATAGTATGTTGGTGACGGTTTATAAAATTGGCTTTCAAATGGGCTTGATTCATATTGAAGATAGGTCCCTTTAACTGCTAATTTGCCCTGCCATAGTACAGCCTATTATCTCCTTTACAACCTCAGTCCTCCCTGGTTGCTTAATGACTTTGACAAAGCACTATCTGTGCGAAACATGTCATCATAGCAACCAGGTCTTGTTGGGGTCCGCCCCAGGCACTCTGGCTTCTCTGTCCATCCATCAGTGTCCATCTGCTGGTTTCTGCGCTTCACTAACGTCACTTTTGGTGCACGCCGATGTAATTTCCAGTGCGCGAGTTCCGGGGACATCCGAGGCAGCATCCTGTTCTGTGAGTGGTACCTTCTCTCAGTTGGCGATCTATCTTCCAGCAGAACAGCTGCCCACAGGATTCCTCTCCACCGCCTCCTGCAACCTGGTCTGGATGCACCTATTTCCTCAGCAGTAAGTCAATTTTATTGACCACATTAGAGCTGTACCATCCACTTTTTCCTTCGTTTACATTAGACATATAACTATGAACAATGGTTTTAATTCCTTTCAAGTGGATAATAAAATCCTTCTTTTTTACTCTGGGTAACATTGTCATCATCCTTGCTAATTTTTAATACTTTACTGGTCACTATTAATTTGGCTCTATGCCAATAGTGCTCATTATCAGCTACTGTTCCATTCAGGTATGCAATATACTTCTTCCCCTTCTGTCTGTACTTTCCATTTCTCTGCTTTGCCACAGGCAGGTGGAATTTCTTAAATAAACAAGGCGCACACACGGAACATTCACAGGGGCCTCATTTTAACAGACTCCTCTGCACCTAGTGTGGTGAATGGCAGTGCTCATCCCCAGACTGCCCATGTTGCCAGAGATGACCACTGTCATGCCAACAATTTATATATGTATCTCCTTCTGGGCAGAGAATTCAGACAGAAGTGGGGGGCAAGTTGTTAACAACAACATGGATCAGAAAATGACCAAGTCCTGTATGCACTTGGTCTCCTGGAGGATGTAAAACAGATTTTTAAGTTGTGGTGATACTTCTTTAAGTGACTGTTTTACTTGACCCTGCTTTGTTTTATTAACTTTTTGGTTAAAACTTTTTTCAAGTACAAAACAACGTAGAGACAAACTATGATTAGTACTCCTTGGGCCTTAAAGAAGGGGATATATAATGAAAGCTTGTCCTGGAAAATTGCAAGTGCAAATTAAAAAAGTATCACACAGTACTCAATTGTTCTTGACACAGATTAACTGCTTCCCAACCGCCCTATAGCAGAAATACTGCAACAGGGCAGCACGGGTGCACAAAAGCACACATACACACATATATATATATATACAGTATATATGTGTGTGTGTGATTTCGCATTTCCAGGTAGGGGGTGCGCACAAGGCGCACGCGCGCCCTACCCATGCCACCGTTTGCGGCCGCAGCTGTCAATCACCAGGTCCCGACCAGTGATTACTCACCAGCCCCCAGTGATTACCAAGGATCTGTGACAGAGAGGAGAACTGTTTTGTTTACTAACAGTTCTCCTCCCTGTCAGCTCGGGCACACTGCTTTGGATGGCTGTGCACATGACAGCCATCCAAAGCAGTGTGCTTACAGTGAAGCACATAGACATGTTAACCCTTTCCTGCCCAGTGCAATTAGTACAGTCTCAGTGCTTTTTTTTAGCACTGGTCAATGTATTTTTGTTACTGGGGATGTCAGTGACACCAAGTCAGTTCCCCCTAATGTCAGAATGTCCGCTGCAGTCCCGCTATAATTTGATGATCGCAGCCATTACTAGTATTTTAAAAAATCCCAGTGTATATACCTCCATTTGTAAATGCTATAACTTTCAAGTAAACCAATTAATTTACATATATAGGGATTTTTGTAGCAGAATACATACTGGCCTAAATTTATGACGAAATCATACATTTCTTTGGTTTACATAGTATGTTGAGTGTTACTGGGTAATTACACCAACATCGGGCACACACTCTGCACATGCAGCTAATTCTGCACTGAATATTTTCCCCCAATCTGTCATTGAAGCAGCTATCTTTATTTTTTATGGGGAGGAAACCATTTTCATAGTGAAATGTATTGGACTCAGGCCTTCTCCTTGTTGGTATGTACAAACTCATATGTATTCCTAATATGGAAACAAAGTGCCTGTAAGGGAGATGTAGACACCTGTAAAACAAAGCTACAGATTAGTAATGACAGAGATCAAGTTCAGGCACGCTGGAAGGGCTATAATGAAAGGAGCAGTATGAAACTTGTTGTGACTGATAAAATAACCCAATACTGGTCTGTTCATCAGCTGTAATCACTTTATACAAAAGTAAAAAGTCTATTAAAGAGGAAAACGCAGATTGAATTTGTTAACCTATTAACATTTTACACTAAATTCATTGCTACTTGATGTAATCGCTAAGCAATTATATCAATGATATAACATGTATCAAAATGATAAAAGTATATGTTGTGTTGTAATGTATAGCATGTGCCAGAAGGGCTGCTGTGCCTGATTATAACTTGCCTAGAATGACTGTTGACTCTTTAGTCCTCGTGCACACTGGACGTTTTTACAGCGGCTGTTTTTGGCTTTTGATGGTTTTTCCTACAGCCAGTAAACCCCCCAGCATGTAATCCTATGTGTCCATGCGCACATAGACTGTAACCAATATTTTTTGACAGGAGCGTTTTTTGGCTGGAAAAAAAACCCTGAACTAGTGGGTTTCTAGAGGAGTTTTTTTTAGCTGTAAAACTGCTCTAATGCTGAAAAATGCGGCAAAAAAATGCCAAAAGCTCCAAAACGTGTGTTTAGGAACTGCTTGTGGTCATGAAGCAAGACTTTGCACTCCTTTTGGTTTAATGCACCTGGAATTTACTAAGCTGATGTAGGGCCAGTGTTGACAGGCATAGTGTCAGTGGCATCAGTTTGATATCAGTTTCATTGACAGGTGAATTTTACATAGTTAGTTTGTGTGGGAATGCAAAACCCACTTGAAGTGAACTAAAGCTCTTTGACACAGACCCCAAAACTGAATGTTCTGTTGGGCTTTAAAGCTGGAGTGGAAATGGCCAGTCTCTCTGTCACAGTTATAACAAGCCACTATGGGAACAGACTACATAGTTGTAGCTATGAGGCAGTTGCATGGAGTACACAGTGACAACTCTGTAGATAATTCCGTAGACTCATGTCAAGGAAGTGGCCTATCAGCACTTTTATTGGCAGGATCAAAAGGTATAAATACAGTTATAGAAAAACAAACGACAGATGTAACTCTGCTCCTTAAAGTGGCTGTAAACCTCAGATATGAAATAAGAACAAATCATATCACTCTATAACGTGTACTTGTCTAAATCCAGAGTACTAAGTCTCATTTCTCTGTCTGCTGCCTCTTTCCTCTACCATAAGTAACTTCTGATGCATTTTCCTGACACCAAGAGAAAAATGGTGACGGGGGAACACAGCCTGTGATTGACAGCCTCAGCTCTGCTCCTGTATGCTGTGTGAAGGAAGGTGTGTCCTTTCCTTCCAATCAGCTCTCAAAGCTCTTCTCACTGAGAGTAACTGCAGCTCCCCGCCCCCTGCTTTTCAGAACTGAGAGATCCTGCATAAGTTCTGCACTTTGAATGTAGGGGACAAAGGGCTGTAGATAGACAGGTCTAACTTATGTAGGAGGATTTGTTTCATCTCTGTGTATCACCTAAGGCCAGTCACTTCACCAGGCATATGTAAAGATTTACAACCACTTTAAAGGTACAGCGCCTTTCACTTTAACATGCACAATTTTTTTATTTTGCTTGTGCATATGCTTTCTTGCTTAGTTGAAGCAGAATTTCACCAAAAAGTAGAAGCTCTGCTTGTTTGCCTCCCCCCCTCCCACACTGCCATATTTGGGGGGGAGTAGATACCTACTTTTGACAGGTACCGGTCCCACTTCTGGCTCAGTTCTCCGTGGCAAAGTGAGCCGGACATTCGCCCCCCTCCTTCCTCCCACAGTCTTCTGGGACACTTCACAGGGCCCAAAAGACAACCGGACTAATATGGATGTGCAGTGTGACTCGCGCATGCGCAATGGGTACTTGGCTGTGAAGCCACAAGCTGTCACATCCGGATACCCACAGTTGAGATGCTAGCACTGGGGAGGGAAGTGGGAGAGAAGGGACGGCGCGGGTGAGCACATCACTGGACCCCGGGACAGGTAAGTGTGTGATTATTAAAAGTCAGCAGCTACAGTTGTTGTAGCTGCTGACTTTTAATAAACACAGAAATGACTGGAACGCTGCTTTAAATCAGGCTGCTTATGAAGTGACAATTTTATAACTATATCCACATTTCTCATAAACCATAATAAACATCGTAAAGGATAAAGATCACAAAGATAATCTCTTTCTTAATTTAGAACATTAAATCCCAACAGTCTCAACAGAAAATCTTAATTATATCTAATCTAGTTTGCTTCCCATTGATCTATCTGGTGCTTAAATATGTTGGTATGTCAGAAGGATGTCTAGCACACAGGGAAAAAATAGATTAAATAAAAATAGAATAATTTATACCAAGAATATCATCAATACTCTGCCCCTAAGAAATCTTCCTTGATGTTCTAAAGCCATACAATATTGTTGTAATTTTAGGTTTCCAGAGCAAAAATAGTTGATTTATATATTCAAATATTTCATTCTAATCGTCTAAATATTGATGGGTCCTAATTGTTTATTTTAATACAAATGATTTGTAACTTTGCCCATCATATTTTTTATTATGAGAACTTAGAGATATATATTTATATTTATGTGACATAGCTATGAATTAGAGGATTGGTCCTAACAGTATCCTGTTGTGTATTAATAGTGTAAAAGTCAATCTCTAGGCTAATCTCTGAGCTAATGACCTCTACTAATTATTACTCATTTCACCCCTTCAAGCTACCCCCCTTCCCAGATTTTTAAAAAACTACCTAAATAACCCAAATACTTCCCTGAATCCAGGGTCCTAAAGGCTCCTGCGGCATTGTAATGCAGTCACAGTGAGGGGTGACAGTGGCCTGGACTCCTGAAGTGGATCACTGTACTTCACTTCCAGAAGAGACACCATTAAGTAAAGAAAAGGGCGCTTTGAAAGTTTTCCATTCTGAAATTGTAAATGGGTGGGAAGAAGTGGCTGTTCAATTTGCCTGGAGATGGGCTTTAATGCATTACTGCAGTGGACCTAAAGTCTAATAGTAAATCTGCGCAGCCCCATTGTCTCCCAAGATGTCCAAAAATGCAATGAATTCTACAGAGAATTCCTATAAAAATATATACGATTTTGCTAAATTTACAAAATTTGATCTTCTGAACATGGTGACCATCAGCAGCCTGAGCAGCTCACTGCTCTCCATAATTATCTTATTAGATTGATGTCATCAGGCTTTACTCCTGCAATGCACGCATCCAATCAAAAATTATTCCTTCACAAAACACTGAACCCCCTAACCTCTCCATTCCCTTTTCTGATGTAAAAGAGTCAAACAGTATAAATGTAATGTCTCAAGAACCAGGACTGTAATATAATCCTGAAACACTCTGTATTCACTAGACTTACCTCTTCTGGTCTCTACCCCAGTTTCTTACAATCATACCAAAGAGAAAATGAAGTTTCGTTTGACGTTGAAGAAGAGGGCTAGACAAATTAGAGGAAGGAGTCCTAACTATCCCAATACTTCAAGATATATCTTACTCCAAAGACATGCTGGTAGGTTAATTGGATCCAGTCTAAATTGGCCCTAGTATTTGTATGTATGAATGTAAGTTAGGGACCTTAGATTGTACACCTCTTGAGGGTTAGGGACTGATGTGAATGCACAATATAAATGTAAAGTGCTGCGTAAATTGATGCCGCTATATAAGTACCTGCAATAAATAATAAATAAATAAATATCTAGAAGGCAGTGAGCTGTTTGTGACCATAAAGTGCTTGGGATCACATTTTCTATATTTTTCTACACATTCTTGCATTTTGGGCTGTTGCTTATTACTTTAGTTTCATTTTCATGCTAATACAAACATTTTTCCAAGTTTATTTTTTTATCTAGCTGAGACATGTCTCTTGCTGTATTTCTTTGCGTCTCCAATTTAAAGTAACCCTGTCCTTTTCCCATGCAGGGTAAAGAAAAGGTTAACTTATCCCCCTTCCCAGGAGCGCTCACTTTTCTTCACTCCACCCCCTTCTCCATTTGGCCACCAAGACCCAGGAATGCAAGCCCCGTGTAAGCTCCAATGTAACTTTTCATAACTTTTACAAGGTCATGGGCTCCATCTTTGAAAATCATGAGACACCAATCACTAGGCACCAGTGCTCTCAAATAAAGAGAGGAGAAATAATCACATGCTCACCCCTATCCCTCGCCATCCACACCTATGCTGCCAAGGGAAATTAAAAAACAAGTATCACCACAGTTTAAAAGTCATTTTTAATCCCCTGGGTGACAAAGTGCATGTAGCACTTGATCCTGTTCTGATCTCTTCTGTTATTGTGCAATACAAAACCTTGTTCATTTTTTTTATGCTGTCTATTGCTGCACCCCAGGCTAAAACCCAATTTATGGTGTTCTTATTTTTTTTAGAATTGCTGACAACTTTCTGATGGATTATAAATGCATTTTAATAGAGCAAGCATCAGGAAAAATGACCAAAAATGATTGTAAGAAATCATGGGATTCCTTATTTTATGAAATTCTCAGATTTTTTAAAGATTTTTATGGATTTTCATATTTTATGACAGCTAATCTCCAATGAGGCTGAAGAAGAGGGCTAGAG